ATTATTATGATGTAATAATGCTGTAGTACTGTGTAGTACTCCAAAGGTGTGACCTACGATTTCAACGTCCATCTCCGAAAGGACGAAACCAAATTGGAAAATGCGGGTAAAGTGCCTTTCACTAAGCCACAACGTCAGACCGAGTTGAAGCTCAGATTCCCAAATCCCCAAACCCACGATCCCACGTTTAAAAGTCCGGTATCTTAATCACAAGATTACTAAAGCCGCCAACGCAGGAAGGTCCTGCCAAGTGCACACACTCTCAGATGTGTAAAGGATAACCCAGTCAAATGCACAAACCGTGTCTGATGCACCGGGAAAATCGAGGCATGTGCTCATGGGTTTGCAATGTAACAACAGGGGTACTTTCACCAAGTGCAAAAAGGCTGATGGCAAGTGCGTTTTGAGTGAATACATTTTTGGGGAAAATTGAAAATGAGTTGATTTTGTATTTCAAACCTTTTTCTAAGAAACTTTGGGCTATTATAAGAAAGCAGAACTTGTAAATATTAACTTCTGCCTCTGCAACGAGGTCGTTTTCGTGCGTGCACAGTAACGAGTCACTATGTGTCATTGACTATGTCTCATTGACTGTGGTGGAGCGGTTAGGCGCGGTTAGGCGCGGTAAGGTAGAGTCGTGGCCTACGGTACAGTTCAATTCACTTGGAGGGAGATAATATAGACTTCAACATAAGTTAAGAACCACCTCGACAGACAGCCATAATTTTTCTTAATCGGAAAAAAGACAGTAGCAAGGGGGGTTTTAAAATTATTTGCTCTGAAAGTGTTAATAATGGGTTAACAAAGCGTAATGCAACGCTTCCTAAAAGTGCATAAAAGGGCAAAACGACCACGTGCAGTACGGAAATCCTTGGGGAATTTTAGCCAAATCTGCTGTTTTTTATCGACTTGTGGACATTCCTCAGTTAAAATTTCTGATGCACATCAAAAACGGACGATACCTGAGAGCCTTTGATCGTGCCAGAGCCATTGCATGGCTGCATGATGGAGTTGGAGCCCGAGAAGTTGCCAGAAGGCTTGCTGTGTCACACACTGCCATTACCCGCCTGAGGCAGAGCCATCAAGCCACTGGATCAGGCCTAGAACGCCAACATGCATGTCGACCAAAGAAGACCACTGAGAGAGAGGATCGATATGTTCGCATGCAGGCCCTGTGACAGAAGACAACGACAGCCAACAGCACCAGGCGTCGTCTGCGTGCTGCTACTAACACGGCGGTGAGCTCCCAGACCATTCGGTGTCGTCAGCAAGCTGCCAACATTCGTGCCAAACGTTCAATCAAGAAACCAAGGCTGACAGCAGGACATCAGGCAAGCCATCTTGCTTGGTGCAGGGCCAATGAACCATGAACTCGAGCCCAACGGGGCCATTTCACAGATGAGTCATGATTCATGGTCAATCCAAAAGAAGGACGTGTGCGTGTGTGGCAGCGTCTACATTAGGTAAGCATGGATCACAAGAATGCCATGGCTAGCAAACAGTCCCGACTTCAATCCCATTGAGAATGTGTGGGGTGAACTTGGCCGCAAAGTCCAGCAGCACCAGCCACCACCAGCTAACCGACAAGAGCTGCTACAGATCCTGCAGCAGGAGTGGGCTAACCTTCCCCAGGCCTTCATTGCCACCACCATCAACATCATGAGGCGACGCTGCCTTGATTGCATTTCTCGGCGTGGAGGGTATACCCGTTTTTGATCGGACTCTCATGGACACTAATTCCTGGATTTTTCTTTTGAGGAGAATTCCGAGCGACATATTGCCTAAGTTTGTGACGTCCTTATTCTGAAATTGAATTGATTTTGCTAAGAAATGATTCCATTAACTATCTTTAAAATTTCAAATGTTTTGCTTTTCACCTGTTCCTACTTCGAGAGTGTTTGCAAGTGGTCCTTAACTTTTGTTGAAGTCTGTAGAAGGTATCTCCGTCCTTCTGCTGAGACGTTACATCATCCCTCTCAGGTCGGGCTTGCCCAGTCAGGCAGAGTGGAAGCAGCCTGCTTCCTAAATGAATCAAATTGTGTCCATGGGGTATGAAAAATCTACAGTTACATTAACAATACAAGTAGGGCATTCTTCCCCCGTGTAGGGCAAAGCGGGCGCGTGCACTTTAGAGCAGGTGCAGGGTCCAGACTGAGTGAGTTAACGTGTTTTGCTTTAGGGGGTTGGAGTTGTCAACTAGAGCGGTAGATAATTGAATTACTGTCACTTGCGGTATGTCTGACACAACCCCAGGCACGTGCGTGAGCGTGAGTATAATGTTTTGGGTATAGTGTCAGGGGGAGGGGGAGGGAGAGGTACCCAGGATAAATTTGGTGAGCGTTGGAGAGGGTACAATAAGAGAGAGAAATATATAGAGAGAGAAATAGAGGGAGAGTGGGGGAGGGAGAGGGAGAGAGATGTAAGAAGGTGTGGAAGAAGGGGAAGAGTAGAGGAGGCTGAAGTCGAGTAACAAGAAAAAAAAGGGGGGGGGGAGGAATATAGAGAAATGAAGGAATGAGCTAAAGGAGACGGAGCTAGCTAAATCAAAAGCGAAAGATAGATAGATAGGTATAGATACCTGCGGAAATACACCGGAGGGGATTTCTAGGTACAACTGCTATGAGGGACAAAATGGATACAAAATAGAAGAAGAAAGAGGGAGAGTGAGAAAGAGAGACAGAGAGAGAGAGAGAGACAGACAGACAGACACACAGACAGACAGACACACAGACACACAGACAGACAGAGGGGGGATAGATCTATGCCCCTTCTGTTTCCCTTTAGTTACCCTCTCCTCAGTCCCCACATCCACCCACCCACACGTCTGCTAACCATCATAATATAGTCACACCCCTCTCACCGCCCAGCAAATGCACCCACATGGCGCCCAAGCACTCTACCTTGTTTGGTTCTGGAACTCGGAATAACCCTCACACTGGCCACATTTCGCCAGGAATAGACACAGACAATAGTTATACTTAAAAGGTACGGAAACAGCAGACTTCCAGAGCGCGCCCGCTAACCGCTTATTTAACACTGGTAATCTGATGCCCGCCTTCTGAATATCCTAAATCTTGTTGAATGGGGCGTGAAACCCAACATCAGCTTAAATACAGCTCTCTCTCTCTCTCTCTCTCTCTCTCTCTCTCTCTCTCTCTCTTTCTCTCTCTCTCTGAATGTGAGTGTACGTGTGTGTGTGTATGTGTGTGTGCGTGTGCCTGTGTGTGTGTGTGTG